GGCAATGATATTTTTCCAGCAGCACGGTTAATCTTCCCTAATAGAGATAAGAGACTCTACTTTATCAAAGATGTGGTGCTTGCAAGATTGGTAATCAAAATGTTTAACATACCCAAAAATTCAACAGATTACGATAAGTTGTTCAACTATAAGAAGCATTACCATGATTATATGCATTTGAATAGATATGCAAATAAGCATCTAAGGTCATTACCATTGATTATATCCCAAATTATTTCTGAAAGACGGGACCCAAGTAAGATTGTCAAGTCCACATTGAGCATCAACCAAATTAATGAAATTCTAGATGAGCTCTGTTCTCCAGAAGCAACCAAGAGTGAGGTACAAATCAGAATACTAAAGCCAGTGATAGAGAAATTAACTATTGAAGAGATCAGATGGTTCACTACTATGATTTTGAAGAAATCAATACTTGCATCATTCGAAGTTATTTTCTTCAGAGCATGGCATCCTGATGCTCCCAGGTTGTTTAGTATATGTAGCAATTTGTCAAAAGTGTTTTGGTTGCTAACTGATCCCGAAAAAAGGCTTGAGCCAGATCAATTGAATGTTCAGTTGATGTATCCATTTCTACCACAATTGTCCCAAAAGCTCACAATCTCGTATGATCAGTTGTGCAACAAGATGAATAATGAGTTCTTTATTGAAGAGAAAATGGATGGAGACAGAATGATTATGCATATGGAAAATAATAAGTTTAAATTTTTTTCCAGAAGAACTAAAGATTATACACTATTGTACGGGTCAAATTTACAGATAGGGTCCTTAACAAAACATTTACGTGATGCTTTCGATCCTAAGGTTAAAAGTATTATTCTTGACGGTGAGATGGTAGCTTGGGATTACAAGAGGAATTTAATATTGCCATTTGGTACTCTAAAGGCTTCGGCTGTTCAAGAAGCTGTTCGCCAATTCACTACTACTGATGTTTTTGAACAGCAGTCTTCCTGGCCTTTATTTATAATATTTGATATATTGCATTTAAATGGTAAAGACTTAACTAGGTATCCATTGTTTTACCGGAAAGATTTGTTGCATAAAGTAATCAATCCGATTCCACATAAATTCGAGATCTTACAATTCATCAAGTGCAAAGATACCAATGACATTAAGTTAGCAATCAGAAATATTATTTCAGAACGAAGTGAAGGAATTATGGTCAAAAATACAAAGCTGAATTACCATGTAGCTTCAAGAAATAACTGCTGGATTAAAATCAAACCCGAATATTTAGAACAATTTGGTGAGAATCTTGATTTGGTGGTCATAGGAATTATACCAGGGATCAAAAACTCGTACATTTGTGGGTTGAGAGACTCTGATGATAATGATACTTTCAAGTCGTTCTGTACTGTCGCGAATGGATTTTCCGAAGATGAATTTAACAAGATAGAAAGGTTGACAACGGGAAAATGGGTTGAGTATAAGAAGCGTCCTCCGCCGGATAATCTTTTAAAGTTTGGTATGAAGAAACCAACATCTTGGATCCATCCGAAAGATTCAATAGTTTTGGAAATCAAGGCGAGATCTATTGATTGTACTTATTTAAGCACCTACGCGGTTGGGACAACATTGCATAACCTTTATTGTAGAGGTATTCGTGAGGATAAACTGTACGATGAATGTATCACATTAAATGAATACAAAGAAATAAAATTGAAGTATTCCAGCGAATTCAATAAATCACAGTCCATTGTTAAAAATAGGAAACGATTCATTAATTCTTTTGAGGAAAAATTAACCACTGATAAGCGAAGGCAAATCGAGGTGATTTCTAAGTTATTTGGGAATTTTAAATTTCTAATACTCTCCGATAAGCTAAATCTTACGGATAATGAACGAATTTCAATCTTGGAGATCGGTGAAACTATTAAAAAATATGGTGGTGCTATTATTCATAATCCGTTGAACCAATCAGTAGATAAACAAATTGTGACTCTTAGTGAAAAGCTCACGACCAAATGTGAAATCTACTTAAAGAAAGGTTTTGATATTATTAAACCTGAGTGGGTATTTGAATGTATAAGAAAAAACTCGATTGTACCTTTGGAACCTTCATTCATCTTGGAAAGTAATAATCCAACTATTGTTGAAAATGCACGCAATCAAGTGGATGCATTTGGTGATAGTTATGTCATCAATGTACGTGAGCCGGTTTTCACGTTCGCCCAAAGACTAAAAATACCACACTCATTATCTAAAGAGAAATTTCATGAGTATACAGATGATTTCATAAGTGACTTAAATCGTCAAGATATAAGTCTACCTATTGGCTTTTTATTCTATAATATTAAATTCTACTTAGTTGATACCGGTATAGATAGTGAATGGCAGCTGAAGATACTAGAGAGGAAAATTGAACGGTTTCAAGGTAAGATATCATCAAACTTATCTGAGTGTTCATTTATTATTGTCCCTGCTGCTTCAAATCAAGATTCGCTGTTGAGAGACGATTTATTGTCCAGGGTCAATTCCCTCAGTAAAGAGATTAGTCAGTCAGTTGATTTTGGTCCGCAAGCCATGTCCAGAATTCCTAGAGTTGTAAATGAGACTTTTATTGATCAGAGCATAAAGTACAACGTATTAGTTGACCCTCAAGACCATCTATTTGTTTAGCTGATCTAGATAATGTTATATACAACAAAAACCCATTCTCTAACACGTCGATGTTATACTACTGTATTATTTTTTTTTTTTATATGCATCAACTTCAATTAAATCAAACAAATATTACCACGAAATCATTGTAATAAATAATCCTTATCGTTGCGAAAACAAGAATGGTCGCATTTAACCGGATCTAACCAGATTAGCAATCGATAGCTTTTTCATTTCTGTCACCTAGCCTTTTCATGTAGGCCAATTAAACAAGGTTCAGAAATGGCATAATGCTAAGTTCTTCTTCAGAATTTAGCCAATTATGAACGTCGTCGGTGTATATTGCAAAGACTTTATAGGTAGCCCGTAGTAATGCTTGAAATTAGAGTCAAATGGAACCGCTTATATTAACATGAGATATTAGGCTATAACGCGACGTGACACGTTTCATATATGCACCTATTTCATCGTTGACTGTGCAAAGAATATTCTGCATGAAGTGTATTCAAACTTGAGACATCATTATTTCGTTCATCCTTGATTGATCAATAATTTAACCGATTTGCTGCACCGAATTTTATTCTACAAATAAATAAGCATACACCCCTATTAGAACAAAACTCATGGCGGAAAGTGGTAATCATAGAATTACATTTCAATTAGGGTGGTCGACTGCTATTGCTTGCTCCAGTACATTACAATTTGGATTTCATTTGGTACGTATTTATGAACCTATAACATGGATCTAACACTAACTGTTTTCAGGCAGAGTTAAACGCACCAGAATCAGTGATAACTTGTGCAAGTCACAAGGCCGGTCCACTCCCATCGTATTCTGATACGTTTTGGTATAAACATGGTTTTGAAAGTTGTATCCCTATGGCAAAAGGGATTGCCGTGACTACTACCATGTTCACTATTGGAGGACTTGTATCATCAATACTACTAGGATCCAACAAAGTATCGGCGAATTTTGGAAGAAAATTCATATGTATTACCAATTCAGTTTTCTACTTCATTGGCTCGTTACTTATGGCGTTATCGAACTCAGAATTGCAGATGAATATAGGAAGGTTCCTCAATGGAATTGGATCCGGTCTGTCACTAGTTATTTCCCCCATATTGATTAATGAATTGACTCCAATAAACCATCGAGGATTCTTAGGTTCTTCTTTACAATTGGCGGTTGTTTTGGGTATATTACTTGCTCAAGTAGTGTCCTTTAACTGGTCGAATGAACAACAATGGAGGTATATTTTCCTCTTTGCAAGCGGCATTGCGGTTTTTCAATTTCTCATGTTGTTTACTACTGTTGAGTCGCCCAAATGGTTGATACTCAACCAAGGCGACGTACACAATGCTACATCAATATTACATGACTTAAGAACAGATAAGAGTAAGGTTAAACACGAAATTAATCACTGGAGAAGATTATCGACCACAGTGGAAAATGCGGACCACAAACCAGTTGAATCTACTTCGCTATTGAGGTGTAGAGATTCAATGCCTCTAAATTCTCCTGCGTCAGAAAATGGTTCCTTGGAATGTGGTCACATAACTACGGGTGAATTCTTAACTAAAAAGGAACATAGAAGGGAACTTTTGGCAGTGACAACAGTCATGACAGCACAACAGCTCTGTGGCATGAATGCTCTCACATTCTATGGGGTTTCAATCCTCTCTAATGTAGTTCCTGAAGGTACGAATGTACTTATTTTAACATGTTCATTATCTTTTTGCAATGTGGTTTCAGCGCTCATCGCAGCCCCGTTAATTGATAAATTCGCTAGAAAATCATTATTATTGGCTTCTATTGGAGGCATGGGTCTTTCATCCTTGGCAATAGCTTTTGGTCTAGTACATGGCTACGATATTCTCGCAACCATTTCGTGCTTTGCATTTATAATTAGCTTTTCGGTGGGTTTGGGTCCAATTCCATTCATAATTACACCAGAATTCACAGCGCACGATTCAGTTGGTCCTGCTCTATCTGTGGGTTCGGCTATGAATTGGTCTACCAATATCTTACTCGCTTATCTCTTTCCAATTGCTCAAAATTATATTGGGGGCAATGTTTTCTATATTTTCTTTCTTATTAGCATAGCATATATTGTTTGTGTATCTCAATTGGTTCCAGAAACACTAGGCTATGATGCTCATGATATGATTTGGAATAATTTCGCTTGAATTATTCTATATTATTCCTATTGTTCTGTACTATTGTTTAATGCTATCATAGGAAATTATTGGTCGCAACATTCATTAGCGCAATTTAAATTTCAGTCCTTGACTATATAAGGCGACTGATGCCAATTGGCAAGTAATTGTAGACTCTATTCACTACATTATAGCAATATAATACTTAAATTAAAATTGAAACAATGGTTGATTACAAGAGATGGATGAAAGAACTTAATGACGATACTAAGATATCGAAGTTAGCTATTCCAGGTACCCACAATTCAGCAGCATGTCACACTGCTTTACCATCAGTTCAGTGTCAAGGAGAATCCGTAACTGATCAATTGAAACACGGTGTTAGATTTTTAGATATCAGAGTTTCTAAATTATTTATGAAGGAAGGGGATGAAGCCAAGGATTTGCAAGTTATCCATGGTAAGTTCCCAGTGAAAATTCCATTCCCATTGAAGTTAACTTCTGTTTTAGATGAAGTTTATGATTTCTTGAAGGACAACAAGTCAGAAACTGTTATTGTTTCTCTTAAGCAAGAAGGACCTGATTCTTGGAACAATGACAAAGATGAATTTGGTAAGTGTATCTGGGATCGTTATGTCAATAAGAACAAGGACAAATGGTACTTACGCTCCGATATGCCAAGAATTGGTGATGCTAGAGGTAAGGCTATCTTATTTAGAAGATTTGGTGTGCGTGACGATAAGTTAAGAGAAAGTTTTGGTTTTGATGCTGCTACATGGAAATACAACACTGCCGAAGATGACCGTGGTAGTTTCGTCGTGCAAGATTTCTGTGAAATCGAAAGTCCAGACGATATTTCTAAGAAGGTTGACTACGTCAAGAAGTTGTCTGAAAAAGCAGGTAAGCACAACTCTTCTAACAACGATCCAAAATTGTTCGTCAACTTCTGCTCTGGTTCAAACTTCTTCAATCATGACTGCTGGCCAAAACAGGTCGCTGACAGAATGATTGAAGGTAAGATTCAAGATACTTTCAAGAAAGGTTGTGGTATTCTTGTCTTGGATTACGTTGAAGACCATGATTGGAAGCTTGTCAAGTCTTTAGTCGATAAGAATTTTTAAATTAGAAACGAAAATTTGTTCTAAGCCTGAAATATAGTTTATAGCTAACTATTTCAATTATCTTATGTTGTTTTATGATTATAAATACATTAGAACGCCAACTTATGGCTAACTTTTAATATGGCTTGTAGAAATCAGTTTGAAAAATAGAACCCGATAACCGGAACCTCGAGTAAATATGGAGAAATCAACTTCTTTTTCTTTTGGTATTTGATAACAGATAACTATACATACGTATGAATGTTTCAACTTATAACATAAGACCTATTTATAGATCTCACAAGTTGATCAGAAGTCGATTGCCTTTTTGTATATTGAGTCCATTGGCAGTTAGGTTTTACTCGCTGAAAAATTTCTCAAGTTCCAACAATCCAATTGCAAATTCAAACGAAAAGCTGCCACATCATGATGATAAACTTAGAGAGATAATAGAAACAACTAACTTTGGTTCTGAATTACGTAAAAAGAAGGAAATGCATGACAAAAAGTTGCACGAGCAAAAGGCCTACGAGAAATATGAACTTGAAAAAGAGGCTGAAGGTAAAGAAACACCTCAACAAAAAGAGCAAGAAGAGGAAAATGTAAGCAATAGCGATAACTCTACTCCTCAAGAAGAATGCAAGGTGAATGATGATTCTATAATTGCATCAGAAATAAGTGAAGATATTCAGAGAGAAATCGGTAATTTACCATCGCAGAAAGAGACGAGACGATATCAACTTGCTAAAAAACTAGAAGAGTACTTAGATTCATTGCAAGACACCATATTCACAGCCACAAGAGCTCTTAATGATGTTACAGGCTACTCGTCAATTGAACAATTGAAAAAATCGATCAATGACTTGGAAGTTCAACTTAAAAACGAAAAAGACAACGTTAAGAAATGTAAAGATCTTTACTCACAGGCTATTTTGCGCCGTTCATTGCTGCAGCGAGAAATAAACGAGCTCCTTACAAGAAAGCATAATTGGTCCCCTGACGACCTAGAACGGTTCACTACACTCTACCGTAACGATCATGTCAACGAACAAGAAGAACTGAATACGCATAATGCGTTAAACGACGCTGAGCAGAAAGTCGATGCCATCCAGCTCAAACTCACCCAGCTGATCTTGACTAGGTACCACGAGGAACAAATATGGTCTGATAAGATTAGAAGGGCCTCCACATGGGGTACATGGATCCTTATGGGCATCAATCTTTTTCTTTTTATCCTCGCAACCTTCTTGGTCGAACCCTGGAAACGTAAGCGTCTTGTCGGCTCCTTTGAAGATAAGGTCAAGCAAGCGATCTTTGAAATGTCGGAAGTACAAGAAGGAAAATGGGACCAAATGATATCGCAGCAAAAAGAGTCGGCCGCTCAACAGCCTGTTTCGACCCTCAAATCATGGTGGTTTAACTCCGACGACGATTCTGAGTCAAACAGCTCGTCGGTATACCCAATGATCTTGACTCCAGTGGATAACTCCTGGCAGGGCCTCAAGACAACCATTCGCAGTCACTACAACGCATTAAGATCATCCACCATCAGCACACTACAATTCGAAAAATACGAGTTTGCCTGGTTTGCTACTACGATTACAATATTAGGCTGTGCTCTAGGAAGCATTTTGACGGTATATTTCAAATAATAGACATATATATAGACCGAATACAAGGTATATTTAATCAGCCTTCCTTAACTATGTAAATAAAAATGTGCGGGCATATAAATTTGGTCGTGTGTGTGATTTGCCCATGGAACAATTGCCACTGAAATCTTTTGGTGATAATAGTGATAATTCTTTCGATATCCATCTACTATTAATTAATTGAATATTCAGTTTCTATAGCAGACATATATCGAGACATTTACATATCACCATACGAAGCCGGTGTTGGAAAAAAATCGATAGAAAAAACAAATTACAATGGAAGAACTTGGTATCTATGAATCTAACGGTAAACAAGCACACATTCCAATAAACAATAAGGGTAATATCAAGGCTAACCATAATGAAGAGAATTCCGATGTATATTTGAAGTTGAAAAAATTAGAGAAGGAATTGGACTTGTTGATGTTACAGGAAGATTATATTAAAGACGAACAGCGTCACTTGAAAAGGGAGTTAGTGAGGGCACAAGAAGAAGTCAAGAGAATCAAGTCGGTTCCATTGGTGATTGGACAGTTTCTCGAGCCAATTGACGAGAATACAGGTATTGTTTCGTCGACTACTGGATCCAACTATGTAGTAAGGATATTGTCAACATTGGACCGAGAATTGTTGAAGCCATCGTCATCAGTAGCATTACATCGTCATTCAAATGCGTTAGTCGACACTTTACCACCTGAAGCAGACTCGTCGATCTCTATTGTTGGAGACGAGCAAAAGCCGGATGTCACGTACGCTGATGTTGGAGGGTTGGACATGCAGAAACAAGAAATCAGAGAAGCGGTTGAATTGCCGTTAACTCAGGGAGATTTGTATTCGCAGATTGGTATTGATCCTCCAAGGGGTGTTTTGTTGTACGGGCCACCAGGTACCGGTAAAACCATGTTGGTGAAGGCGGTAGCTAATTCATCCACTGCGTCTTTCATCAGAATTAATGGGTCCGAGTTCGTCCAGAAGTATTTGGGTGAAGGTCCAAGAATGGTGAGAGATGTTTTCAGATTGGCTAGAGAAAACTCTCCTGCTATCATTTTTATAGATGAAATTGATGCAATCGCAACTAAGAGGTTCGACGCTCAGACGGGTGCTGATAGGGAAGTGCAAAGAATATTGTTAGAATTATTAAATCAAATGGATGGTTTCGATCAAAATTCTACGGTTAAAGTTATAATGGCAACAAATAGACATGATACTTTAGATCCAGCGTTATTAAGACCTGGTAGATTAGATAGAAAGATTGAATTCCCATCATTAAAAGACAGAAGAGAAAGAAGATTGATCTTTTCTACTATAGCATCAAACATGGCTTTAGCTCCTGAGGCTGATTTAGACTCTTTGATTATAAGAAATGATCCTTTATCTGGTGCTGTTATTGCTGCAATTATGCAAGAAGCTGGTTTAAGAGCTGTCAGAAAGAACAGATATATGATATTGCAAAGTGACTTGGAAGAAGCATACACGTCTCAAGTCAAATCTGGAACTGAACATGACAAATTCGATTTCTACAAATGATTTCGTATAGATTTTCATTTAAAAATTTATAATTAAATAATTTGTAAAATAATATATACAATTTCATAATAATTCATAAATTCCTAACCCAGGCTTCAAACTTTGAAAATCAGAAAAATCGATGTGATCTAAATCCAAATGATGAGTATAATTCCACACTTGATGCATATTAATATCACTGTGTTTGTGGATAGAAGCAATAGGAGCAATCAAATAAATAGATCCGCTGAAATCTTTAAAACTCTCGATTAACTTTGAAACATGTGCATAGTTGCTGCCCATCGTATCTATTAAATAATTTGATTTTGTAGAATCTAATTCAACTTGAGGAGAATCATCTGTTACTGTTAAAACCTGGAGCGTATCTAGCTTGTCACCAAGAATCCAAGGAGGAGGCGAGTAAGTTCTCCACCAAATCTGGACTGATTGTCTAGAATTTTCCTGAAATATGTTACTATGAAAGTAATCCAATGCTGGAACTATTCCTCCTTGATGATAAACCCCCATTAATACTGCTAATAAAATATTGAAAAGGTACCATAAATTCATTAAGACAGAGACGATGGGTGGTGCCTCAGTAATTCTTTCTCCTTTGGATGCAGACGAAATATTCTTCAAATCAAAACAACAGCATGATAGTGGTACAATTGGTATTAAGAATCTCAATTCTTGATGAGGAATAAGCGACAATACAGATATACCACTTATAACAGCTAAAAATGGTGTAGTTCTCCAATATTGGTTTTTAAAATTAGAAACCATGAAGAATAAACCAGGGCCCAATATCTGTGGTAAATTGACTAGTAAATGGGTGTAATACGGGTGGAGACCATGATTTGATAAATTCTCTACTTTTGAATTATAGATGAGATTATTCAATGGAGTTATCACGTAACTGTTGAAATCAAATGGGTGCTTTAAAATGGCATCTATGGAACCATTAAATTCAAACGTGTCAAGCAAAACAATGGCTATAGTTGGAAGCATAAATCCCAATAAAGTGAATATCGCACTCGTCTTGTTGTGCCAGACGAACTTCATTAAGTAAAGTGATGGGAGAGCTAAGAATGCCGGAAACGTAATCCTATTGAATATACCAATGGATGCGAGAGCCCCAAACCAGAATAATCTTTGATATTGACATTGGTTTCGTAATTCTGGCACATTCAGCTCTTGAATGAACCGTAAATCATTGATAATCAATATACAAATCATCACCAACCAGGTTTCAATACTATTGGAAAAGCAGTGAGATTGATATACTAATGTAATGTAGGATGTCAGCGTATAAAATAAGCCCTTTATTCTTTCTGGTTTTGTAGGCAATAACCTATAGATGCACATATCTGTGATCACCCATCCAATTATAACATTCTGCAATCTAGCCATGTACCATATTTGCAACGGACTTACCTCATATCCTACCAATTTAATTGAATACAACAATGGGCCGTAGAACAAATATAAAGGTCCAAAACTTCTTGCTGGCGTATCAGATGAAAATTCCCATGGTGTAATTGTAGTGAAGTTGAAAATTTTATTAGTTAAAACTTCAAAGCTTTGGAAATGTTCGTCGGGGTGAATATAAGAATTGGATAATGCAAGCACAAATTTTAAACCAATTGCTATCAAGTATACATATCGCCAATTAAAATCAAGACTCAACGACATGCTACTAAAGACCTCTTTATAATGTTAACAATTTTTCAGACATATTTTGCGATTTAAAAAATATACGTGTGTATTGATTTACAAAAATTATTCAAGTTGTAACTATTAATTTCAATAATATTAATATCATTTCTATAAAGATCATGTTATATATACTACAGCTGGTTGACTTGAATTTTTCAATGCTATTATTAACTTTTGAATCAGAAGATTATTCATCTTCCTCGTCGTCTTCTGATATATCGTCATTCTTAACCGCAATTTCGATATCACTATAAGCTTCTTCATCTTCAGGATTTTCTAAATCCATAACAGACTTTGCTGAATCTCTTGCTTCTTCTTCTTCATCTTCGCTTTCACTTTCACTTTCATCTTGGCTTTCATTTTCAACATCAGAATCCAAATAATCGTCTTGACCGTTTATGATATCCATTGCATCATCACTTTCACCTTCACCATTTTGAAGTAATTCTGCATCATCTAATTCTTCGACATATTCCACGTCACTTTCCGCATTTTCAGAATCGTCATTGAAATCGTCTCTGAGAATCTCTTTCTTCAAATCATTCTGCTGGTATAACATATTTAACCTTCCTTGTAATTCCAATAATCTAGGTAAAGTATCTGCCTTTTTGGATAAGATTGCATGCAAGTTTGATAACTTAATATTCAAGTTTGGGAATGATGTCAAAACACCTCCATGAATGATTATAATCCATTTCAACCAATAGTTTAATTGATCAAATCTTGAAGTTTGACGCGTAATTCTTTCAGCTAATCTATCTAATAGAACGACAGCTAATGACGAGTCCAATCTACTAATGGTACTTTGAATAATATGAGGATCACGGTTACTTAAAACAGTTTCTAACAATGAATGATCATTACTCTTTAAAGATTGAGAAAGAACGATAGTCAATGTGGCAGGAGCGTTTTTGCTACCTAACTTTCTTTTATTTGGATTAGCCTGTTTTGGTTTTTGATCCGTTGATAGCTTTTCCAATTTTTCTGCTAATGTCTCTTCCTCTTGCTCTTCGTTGTCACTTTCATTATCCAAATCTTTGAAATTTGAGCCATCAGTGACAATTGCATTTCCTTCATTATAATGTTTAGATGCAGCGATATCATGACCATAATCAGAATGGCTCGTAGTCTTTAAATCTGGTTTCGACTTTTCAATAATAACCGAGTTATCTAAAATTGCTTCTCCCGATTCGTTCAACCATTTAATAGATTCAAAGTACAGCAAATTAGCATTTTCCAACCATGATAAAAGAATAGAGTCATCATTTACGGATACTGCAGTTATAGATAAACTCATATCAACGCCACTTTTGATTTCATCTTTTGGTCTAGCCAACTTAACGGTTGCATTTGAAGAACGAGATTGAACTGTAGATAATTGTTGTCTTCTCTTCTTTTTGGAATGAATATTTGCCGATACCGGAGCATCGCTTGATAATGGGTTATTGAAGACTTCCAAAGAGCCATTTTCAGTAAGCATGACTAAGACTGATGTATTTTCATTCTTTATTCCAAGGGCCATATCTAAAATGGACGCTTGAGCCACAAACACTGCCTTGGTATTCTGCTTGGAAATGGAATATAAATTAATGAATCTGTCATCGACAGCACTAGTAAGGAATAAATCATTATTATTTGGGATTGGATAGATGGTTTCTATTGGCTGAACATGAGCAGGGAAGGTTTTGAGGATTTGTCTTCCTTCAATTTCTATAAGATAAACTGAATGGGAGCCGACCAACAAATGAGCTTTTTCTTCATAAAGCACGGTAGAGATTCTGGAAATACTCTCAGACGACTCTAACAAATCATTAATGGCAAAGCTTTGTAACAACTTAAAATTTGTTAAATCCCATTCGTGAATGTTTCCACCAATATCACAAGACCATCCACTTTGGGTTAATTTAGAATAGTGGAAATCTTGGATAGATAAGTTAGTTGGAGTAACTAATTCCGATATTATATCATTGGTTAAGGGAGAATATACAAGGATCGATCCCTTACTTAATCCTATGGCGATGAGCTGGTTTTCGTTATATGATATCCATGATAATGCCGTTAACTTTGACGATTTGTCTAAGTTAAACGATGAATTTAACGACGATTGTGAAGGATTTATAGATTGTACCCTTACTTGATGCGTGTCTAATGCAATAACCCCCGATGCTAAGTAAGTATTTGTTGGATCAAATTTGGCGTTTATTAAAGGTCCTGTCGATGCCATCTCTATCTTGTGTGATTTATGTGTTTTCTAAACGTATTATACAAAGGAACAAGTTCAAGTATTGAAGGATTGAATATCTTAGCAGATTACTTATTTGTTTATAATGAGACACTTCTTACTATGACAAGCCAATAATCTTTCTAGTATTCAACTGATAACTAGATGAGCTGTGTAGAAATTTTTGAAAAATATTTTTTTGCGAGTATATGAAGGCTTATATAATCAGACTTTTAACAGCCAAAACTCCTGAAGAGTCCTGACCTGACCTATTGCTTCAGATTTACTTGCAATTGATTCATAATCGCCAGGAACCAACGCAAGGATAGAGAATTCTAGATCTTTCGTAGGTATATTCTTCGTCTCCCTGTGAATAGCTTAATTTCAGAATTCTGAATCCATCGCTCATCGCATCTCAACTATCATTCTTAAGCCAAAGCCAACGCTTTCAGATAATATAAACACAACTGATAAGCATGGACCTTGATTACCAACTATTATCCTAACAATGACTACTTTTGCTCGTGGCGGCAATTTGTTTAATTGTTAGCAAATCGTCCAAAACATCAAATAACCCCCGAGTTTTTTCCAAAATCAACTAAAGGCTTCCTATACCTCCTCTCTACTCTCTCGTTTAACTCTATCGGCATTTAAGGCTTTCTGAAGGCTTGAATTCCAAACACACCATGACGCCTATTTTTAGAACTTAGTTAACCCATACATCCCGTAAACCGCTTGATACCCTTGCAAACTTATGCGTATTCTAAGTAGATAAGGTATATACCCCCTTCAGCTTACCAGGAGATGGTTTATCATTACCATCGTCAGTAAGGGTGTTGTTATTGTTATGTTCCAGGGTTGCTGCAAATGAAAGTTATATATATTGATTACGTAATAGGGCAAAGAATATAAAAGGCCCCCAAAATCCCATGCTTGAGAAACAAAATAAATGGTAACAAAACATCAATATGTCGGATTATCCAAGCAGTAGCGGAGAAGATTTATCCCTCCCAAAGGCCACGGCTCAGAAGATCATAGGGGAAATATTACCTAAAGATATTGCAATTTCCAAAGAAGCCAGAGAAGCCATAACAGAATGCAGTATAGAATTTATAATGATTTTATCTACGCAGCTGAATGATATAGCGGAAAAAGAAGCTAAGAAAACCATAGCATCGGATCACGTTGTGAAAGCATTGGAGGAATTGGGTTTCCACAATTACCTCGAGATTATTAACAGAATCTTAGATGAACATAAAGAGCTTTTGAAGGGAAAAGAAAAGAAGAACAACAAGTTCCAAAATTCTGGGTTAACTGAAGAGGAATTGTTAAAGCAACAAGAGGAATTATTCAAGAAATCGAGAGACCGGTTACACAGCACCGGTGGTGAGGTAAAAAATGAGTCTTAAAGACCCAATGGATAATCGAAACCACGTCCAATCCCACAACGATTGTTCCGATTCCATTACGTGCGATCAATACTTCTATTGGACGCACAAATGTACAGTAGTTTAATAAATAGATTTATAACGTAAATTGAACCGTGTAATTAATAATATACAAGAGTGGAGCGGCCACTCTGATTGCTAACCTAACCCAATATTAACTCGTAGAATATCACTACCACATTGATGAAAATCAATGGCAACCTCATAAGAGTTCTCACTGCACTGATAAGATTAATCATCCTAGTTTTTACCGAAGTTCCTTCACTTTGCATCGACGTAGAGAATTGCAGATATGGTTGAGATGGATTGTTAGACGTGCTGGACCCCCATCCTATTCTGTTCAAAAATCTATCCTCACTAAGAACCGCTATACCGTTGACTGTCAATATGATCACGTACAACAACTTCCCGAGTCCGAACATTTGCTATTTCTTATATTTTTCACTTGCTTTGTATAGAAAGGAAGGAAGCCTTATATTCATATTTGACAAGTTGACGTTCGTAGCTAACTTGTAATTAGGAATAAAATGTAAATTATGAGCGTTGCGAACTTATGTTTATATTTCATAATACTAGTCAAGGATGATTTATTCAGCATAAAGTATAAGAATAATATAATGGATCCACCTAGTAACATGCAAATAAAGGGGCGGAAGAAGGACTCGATAGAGCAATTTATCAGTTCTCCCCAACTTTTTCTTGAAAATAGTTTGTCTCAGTTGAGATATATGATTCTTATTGAAGGTTTGTCCACACCACCTGGGTATGATCTGTGTCCGTATAGATGCTATGTATGGTCAATTCTTTGTCGAGTGCCGACGTTTTCAACAGATATGTATGGAGAAATCATGGATGATACTGTCGACAATTTGTCACCCGAGTTATACCAGAAAATCAAAAATGATACGTTCAGGACATTAATGAACGATAAGAATTTTCATCAGAAAGTGCTGGAACAGTCGTTGGTGCGGATCCTATCGGCTACAGCGATCACAGTTGACAATAGGGTGGGATATGTGCAAGGGATGAATGTGTTGTTGGCTCCCATCGCCTATGCATGTCTGAAGAGTGAACCTCAAGCTTTTGCAATATTACATCATTTGATCACAAAGCAGATACCACAGTACATAACGCCAAACTTAGATGGTGTCCATACGGGACTCAGTCTTGTTGATGTAGTTCTCAAGATTATCGACCCGGTGCTAAGTGACTATCTCGATTCGAAATTTTTAAAGGCTGAAATCTATGCATTTCCATCGGTGCTAACGTTATGCGCATGTACACCACCGTTGAAATCAGTCCTAAAGCTATGGGACTTCTTATTTGCATACGGGACTCATATGAACATTTTGTTTATAGTTGCACAGTTAATAAGTCATAGGTCAGTATTATTGAAGTCCCAGCAACCCATGAAAATATTAAGAAATTTCCCACCCTTGGAAGAAAATGAAATAATAAAATTGAGTCTAAGCTTCATTCCTGAGCTACCAAAACCACTTTACGATTTAATTACAAGGCATGGGTTCGACGCTAACGTCCCAAATGAATTAAAATTATTTTTGATTGAGAATAAGTATAGCTAATGCTATTTAAAGTAATCCGTTTTTAAAATCATCATAATCATAAAACGAACAAAGTACTGTTCTATCGTTATACATTCTACCTGCTAATCCCATGATAGCGTTCAATGCAGTTTCCTCGTCTTCAAACTCGATATATATCTTTCCTAATCCTGGCTGAGTGAATTGCGATATCCCTGGGGTATAGTCATTCGCTGGTCTTGGGATTTTGATCGTTTTAAGGTTACCAAATTTTGAAACCTCTTGCTGAATATCCTTTTGAATAAATTTGAAATTTGCATCATCCATCAAATCCTTAGCTGTTACGATATTGATTAGCTGAATAACTCGCAGGCTTGGGTGCGTTGTAACATGTTCATTCTTCACTAATTTCTTTAAAGTACTCAAATCAATTGGACAATCTTGAATACTTGTATTATCAGGAATAATGCAAGAGAAGAAGGCATCTTCTATAAACAGGCTTTGTTTTAAGTCTTCAACCAATGTTTGGATTACTGGAATTGCATTAATAGTCTTTTGATATTTAGTTGGATCAATATAAAACTCTAAGAAAGCGATTCCTACTGGTTTTTTCGTACCTATTTCTCTCAACAACTGAAATCCTTTAATAATACCTACCTCCTTTAAATTTTTAATTATTTCTGTTTCATCAAGCGTCGAGGGTACCAAAAGTGTAATTTTTCTTGGGCTATCGGTGACACTTTCTTCGATTTTATCCTCTTTTATTTCGGCATATGGTGGTAAACATTGCACTACATATTCTCCGGGTCTTGAAATGTCAAGTACGATATCATCTCCTGTATCTTGGCCGGCTTGATGAATAGGGTTTCCTTCATCATCATTTTTGATCAACTTCATTTCATTAAATGATAATTTCCTAGAGTTTAATGCCATTGCAATCGTTGCACATGTATTGTTCTTAAATTCAATGATCAAATTTTGATCATCTTTAGTTTTTCTTTTGGATTCCACGTTATTTAATGTGGTTTCGGGGATATCAATCTGGCTCAAAAATTTGTTGAAATATTCAGTAATCTTCAAATAGTCAATTATTCCAAAATTAATATTTTTAATAAACAAGATACTAGAATTTCTTGAATCGATAGGGTCAATTTTAGAAGAACCATTCAATATATCATTCGAATTCAACAATCTATCTCTAGCTACTCCTTCCAACTTTGTAAAATCAACAGGTCTTGGATAGCCTGGTAAAGGAAACAACCCTGATAATTTGGCTCGTTGGGCTGTAACATTCTCAAACCCCTTTGGTTTCACTCCCCACTTTGAATCAATAATAGTTATATCCTCGATATTTGGAACCTTTTGCAAACTTGCTAATTTCTTTTCGCATCTCTCTATTTCTTCTTCTTTAGTCAACTTAGGTTTAGAGTCTTGCGCGGGAACTCTTTGTCTTCCCTTCTGTTGTCTATCATCGTATCTCGGTTTATACGAGAGCAGTGAGTCTCCTCTATCAGCCCTTTCTCCTCTATCCCTATAATATCTGTTATTATTATACCTTTCGTTCCTTGTGTCGTGAGATGGTCGTGAAGGCCTATAATTACCATTTCCTCTATCACCGTACCTATCATTCCCACCTCTTCTGTCATCGTACCTATCATTCCCACTTCTTCTGTCATCGTACCTATCATTCCCACCTCTTCTGTCATTGTACCTATCATTCCCACTTCTTCTCTCATATTCCGGCACACTTCTTTCTCCATATGGACTATCACGAACTCTTTCCCTAGCACGATCCTGATATTCATATCCGCCATTGTTTTCTCTTCTCGGTGTTCTATACGAGTCTCTTCCCAGGTAAGTTCCAGACGATGAGGGACGATCTGTTGCAAGTGTTAGTATATGTGTTCAAATAAAAATACTATTCGCATAATTAATGATTTGCATGAATCAAAGCAGGTGTATCCATCATATAGTATGTACATACGATTGTCGTTATTCATATTGAAATATCTTTATGTTAATCTCTGAATACTTAGTTTCTGGAGTGTTGATAATTTATTTCATCTCGCATCTGGCTTTTTCAATTCATTACACAAACTGCACTGATGAAATCAATTATTAATATTAATGGGTATATATATATATATCTTTACCAATATATAACTATGTATAGAAAGAATTTAAAGGGAATATGGATCACAATTCATCGTGAACAATCTCAGTAGATTCTGAGTCATTGACAACTGTGGATTCAGTATTAGTTCCTGGTTCAGTTGGTTCAGAATCAGATTCTTCTTCGACAAAACCATTCTCTTCTTCATCTTCAATCTCCTTCTCTGCTTCCTTTTCTTGTTTTAACTTATCTCTTAATTCTTTTTTATGCTTTCTTTCTAATAACTTATCAAATTTATCGTTGAATGTTTCGACTCTGGTCTTTTGTGATTCTTGGATTAAAATAATATCAGCTAACATCTCAACAATTTTTTCTGTAGCAGCTTCATATTTTTCATAAATTTCTTTCTTTGGTATCTTATTGAATTTAGATTCGCTCAATGAAGTCAATTCACCGACTTTTGACAAGTGTTCCTTATATTTTTCTAAATCCTTGTCTAACGTCATCATTTTATCACCACCTTCTCTCAAAAGTTTAAGTTTAATACGATCATTTTCCTTATCGAAATCAAAATTTTCCTTTTCATACTTTTGTCTGATTTCACTAATTTGGGTACCGGATTCAAGCATATAACTTTGAACTTGCATAGTAATAGTTGTACCATCTTCATATAATTTTTTCATACCAGCTAAGGAAATATCTACTTTCGACATTTCAACAATAGACTCTAAAGCTTTCTTTTTTGTGGCTACTTCACTTGATTTATTAAGAAAGTCTTCGAGAGAAGATCCATCACTTTCAAATTCGAACCATTCTATAGTGTCACGAACAAATGAGCTGTAATCCGATATTTCATCTTCAGTCATCTCCTTTAATAACTCGTCTTCATGATCATCAATAAATGCACGTAATTCATAACATTTACTCTCTAAATTATTCTTAACTTGGTCTAGTTCTGCGCGAGATTCATCCTTACTGTTTAAATAAGCCAACTTATTGAAAGTACGTTCCTTAGTAGTTCTTGACATAGGTTTTATATGGGGATAAATCGGTTTAGGGATACTGATAGAAATAGGCTTAGCCTTTTTCTTCGTCGATTTTGATGTGTCTGATTGGGTTGTATTTGTGGCGTTGTTATCGGTAGTTTTATCGTAGTCAGAAGCTTCTTCCTCCATATCTTCGGACGCATCTCCTTCCTTCTTCAATAATTTTTGGAAAAATCCACCCTTTTCTCCACTTGCAACACATTCGATTTCCAAGTTGGATAAATCAAACATTTTATTATGATCTAAGGTAAAAGTGCCAAAAACTTGTTTACCATTTTTGGAAGAACAACTAAGATCATTGGCCTTTTTCAGAAGATCATCAAATTTATAGGATTTAATTAAACGACCGTCCTCATATAATCCAACGTTGATATCTTTGGTAGGGTTACCAAGATTCAATCTAGAACTATTATTTATTTGACAACCTCTAGGAAAAACTAATTGATCGTCATCACTATCATCAATCTTAACTTCAAAATTATGGTAGGACTTTTCAATCACTTTAATATCCTTGACCTTCTCTAAGTTAGTCTTTAATTTAAGACCTTGTAATGTAGTACCTAATGCACAACTTTCGTCCGCATTAACAGATTTAGAAATTCTACTCTCACCCAATAATGTGGCTAAATGCTTTTGAACAAATGGGATTCTCATAGACCCACCGTTCAAGATAACAGATTTTATATCTTCAATTGACTTTTCCGGAGCGGAAGATTTCAATGCATCCTTGATTGGCTTAGTGATATGGTCCATCAAGTCGGAGTTAATTTCTTCGAATTCATCCTTTGTGACAGTGGTCTTAAAATCCTTATCTTCATAAAGATTCTCCAATGAAACGTGGTAATCAGCATTGATAGAAAGGACAATTTTGGCCTTTTCAGCCGCTTCTAAGATACGGGCCAAAACCTTTGGTGGGAGCTTAGTTGAACCCTTTAAATTGAATGCACTTAAAAACTTCTCTAAAATGATCGTGTTAACAGATTGGGTGAACAATTGACCCCCAAATGTTTCGTCGTACCCAATACTTTCGAGTTCCAAAACAATTGAACCATTAGTAAATGGAGTAAATGAAAATAAAGTAGCGGTTGTCGATCCGGCACCCATATCGTAAATAATATGGTATTCTTTTTCGTCTGTCAAATCCTCTTTTTCAAACTTCTTGCTCGAAACATAATTCAATGCAACAGCACTACCTTCATCGACTAATCCTAAAACATTGGAGAAATTACCCAACTTCAATCCATCCAAGTACGCCTGTTTCGTCTCATGTGAAGCAAATGGAGCAACTGAAACTACCACATCTTCAACAATAGGTTTTGCCAATTCGTTATCTTCCAAGTCGTTCAAAGCCCTACCTTTGAGTTCGTGCAAATTCATGGCAAGAGCTTCTTCAATAGCAAACTTGTACGAATCGTTCGAAAGCCCCAAATCAATCTTGATAGCATCTGCCCTAGAATCGTCACCAATCAACTTCACGCCAAAATTGCGTGCCAAAAATTGTTGTGTTTCGGCACTCTTGGCTGATTTTCCCAAAAGCGGTTTCAATCCCATGACACACGATTGAGGAAATCTGGTGCACAACGACCCAGTGGCAGACCCGAATACTCTCTCGAGCCCTCCATCATTCTCCCTGATTGAAATTCCCGACAAATCCTTTCTCTTGCCTTCATCAGTAAGCACAATTTCAAATGAAATTCCCGGTGCCAATAAGACGGCCTTGGTGAATTGTTGACCGTAGTCTATCCCCAATATAGCCGCACTACTCGTAGCAACTAAACAAATGAAAAATAATACGAGTTTCATCCTCTGTTTATCAATGCCTTGCCTTCGTTTTCACTATTTACTGATAATATATTCTAGAAAACACTTCTCTTTATTTAGTACTGAAAAATCTCTACGTGTTTAGTACCGTCTAGAATGCGAAAAGAGGGGTGGAATCAAATTATCATTTGCACGCTTCTGTTATGAATTCAGCGTAGCCAATTTGTTGCTGCTAATAGCACCATCAAGTCTTATGGTGTTATCAAAATAGAACCACATAAGCATATATTGAGAAATCCGTTTCGATTCAGTCGTTTGAATATCGTGTCCTTAAAATACGGATCATATTGACAAATAGTACTTGATTTTTTAACGGATTCATTTTAGCTTAGTCTTTTAATTATGATTTGATTCCGGAGAAGTAGTCAGTTCTCTTTCTAAAACGGTAGTAGTAAAAACGTAGTATACCAGTTAAAACCTCGCTATTTGCCTGTGATGGTTTTGATAAAGTCCAGCAAACAAATTAATGAAACTTTATCAAGAAATCACCTGATATACTACCAGCACACACTATATTGTCTTCTAAGTGATATGCTGATTATAGAGATATTTTAGTATACAGATTGAACTTCAAATTGATTTAAGCATAGTTCATTTAACCATGCACTTGCTATATATTCAGTTCGTGTCGTGACACAGCACGATCGACCAATACATCATACAAACTTCTTTATTAAATTATGTCCCTTTCCTCGATTACAATGAATAAATAATTGGCAATAATATTCCGGCCCCCATGTAATTGAATTGCAGCCATTTTTGATAATTTCAGGCTCTTTGTGTCATTTTATTCCGAACCAGTTTACATAAATGGTTGGATGTAAGGATCGTACATAGGCGTATGGGCTTATTTTATGAATGGGTGTATTGTTCGGTTCCGTTGAATGTGATATGGGTGTACGAAAATTAAGAAAAAATTATATATCAAGATAAGATGTTGATACAATGGCTGTTAAATCATTATCTGATCGGAAACACTAAGTTTCCGGCAGCCTAATTCATGTATCTGATCGGCAAGCTAGCTTATCAATAAATAAGCTTCAATCCGTAGATTGCCGTAGGGACATCAAGAGATTTTTTTCTAAATTTTTTTTTCCTCCTGCGCAGCATCAGTGTTAAGGATTGAAATTTCTAAATTTTTTTAAAACTCTTCTTGTGCTTGGGTAAACGATTGCCCCCTAGGTACGCGATTCGGCAATTAATCAAGCTTACATATATATAAAAGTAAACAGTAATGGGTTCGGACGAAGTTCAAGACAAAATGTACATTTCGTACAACAATGTCCATCAATTATGTCAAGAAGCAGCAGACAGAATTAAGGAATTCAACCCTGACTTAATCATAGCTATTGGTGGTGGTGGTTTTATTCCAGCCCGTATGTTACGTTCATTCTTGAAAAAACCAGGTCAGCCAAACGTCAGAGTCATGGCCATTATCTTGTCGCTTTACGAAGTTGTCGATGGTGCAAATGAAGAGCAAATTGGTACCGAGGTAGTTAGAACCCAATGGATTGACTATCAACAATCCAAGATCGATTTAGTTGGTAAGAAGATCTTGATTATTGACGAAGTTGACGATACCAGAACCACTTTGCACTACGCCATTTCTGAGTTGAAAAAGGATATTGCTGAACAATCGGCTGCCAAGAACGCCGATCCAAACGATACTAGTTTTGGTATTTTTGTTTTGCATGACAAGCAAAAGCCAAAGAGGGCCGAATTACCAGCCGAAATCATGAACGGTAACTACTTTGCTGCTAGAACCGTTCCAGACAGCTGGATCGCCTACCCATGGGAAGCAATTGACATTGTTGAACACACCAAGAGAGCTGTTGAACAAGGAAATGATTGTTTCTTGCCTTAATTGATAGTATGTGTATATTATTTATTTACGGCATATGTATTAGTTATATTTATGCATTAATGGAAGATATTTAATTACATATTGCTATATATGTATATATGTTAGGCAAGCGAATTAATCTATTTCAATGTAGTCTGGGCTTCTTGAATGATTCTTCAACGATGGATGATTACTAGTCTTATCCTTTCGTTTTTTACTCTGTCTCAATGATTGCCCACTTCCGCCAAATGCATCCTGTGAAGCTTGATTAGCATTCTCTTCCTCGCTTTCTTCAGGTGTTGGTAGTACCACTGGAAAGCCAAAAAATAACTGATTACTTGGTAAGTCCAATGGCACGGGTTCCGCGTCAGGATCCAAATCATCTATAGTATGATTTTCTTTAGCTTGTTCCCGTTCGGCCGTAGGTTTTCCAGATAATGATTGTCCTGATCCTTGGAACGCTTTCGTCGCAGGATTTGATGATTCAGCTACCAAGTTGGCATAATTCAAAGACTTGGCCATAGTACCAGCCCCGGCACTTCTGTTTACGCTAGATGGGTCGATTGCGTTCGTTGTTGGTTTCTTGGTCTGAGGTTTATATTCTGGCTCAACATACCCAACTGGCGGTGCAAAGTCTGTTTCCAAATCTGTTTCAACAACACAAACACCACGACTTGATGATTCAGGTTTGGCTTCAAGAACCTTGATTCCAAATATAGAATCATTATAGTTTATTTCAATGATATCATTTACCGTTAAAGTAGAAAACTTTCTTAATACGTTTTCTAAGACCGCTTTTGGATCTGAAATATCTAAGAAATCAACAGATTGAGGTTCTATTTTCACAAAATTACCTAACGGCAAGTCACAGTTGGAAATTTTCAACAACAGCCCTGGTGATAATTGCAAAGTTGACATCATCCACTGTGGTAGATAAGCTCTTCCTTCTTCCGCCACAAATTCTAAAACTCCACTGTGAGTTGTAACACCACTTGCTTCGTTCGATAATTCAAACAACATAGGGTATCTTATGTGTAGCATTGTCAACTTGTTCAATGCTGAAGATGGTAAAAAGATCTTTCCCCCATAGTTGGCATCATCTTTTCTAATATGATCAGGCATCATAGCAACTGGATAACTTCTGAAATAATCTTCAAATTTCGAATTCATCGGTGCAAATTGCGATGCACCAAACATTGCTGATCCAAATCCAGAGAACATCTTGTTAGCTTTTATATTATAAATTAGGATATAATGTACTGTGAACTTATCTTCAATGAATACGATCTTGCCGTTACTTCATAGTGCAACATTAGTTTTGTGTAACTAACATAGATATCTAAGAATTGTAACTAATATAAAATCTATCATCTTTAAACGAATGAAACAAAGAGTATAATCGTCTATAAACTACTTATTTACTTACTTATTCTGTTGTTGTTGTTGTTGTTGATTAATTTGTATAATCTTAGCGACGGTATCTTGCTGGTTAGAATCTAAACCACCAAAAATACCTGAATATTTACCTGAATCTTGTTGTTGTAAAGACATAACCTTATTTGCAAATACTTCAAATACATTGATATTATCAATAGGAGTTTGTTTCATAGCTTCTAATTCTGCCTCGTCTGCTTCAAAGTCATCGCCTTCGAAATAAGCATCATCATACTCATCTTCCTCATCATCATCACCTCCTGTGTTGGCTGAATATTGCTTCATACCACGGTCTTCGGAAAGGATATCTTGCCTGGCCTTGATGGCGTGTGGTAAAACTTCCAAGTTTGAAATTAACAAATCTGTTACTTCCAGAATAGTTTCTTGTTGTGGAATCAAAGATAAATCAGCATCACATAATATAGACAAGCAACATAAGATTTGAATCTTACAACCGTAAACACTTTGGAAATCACCAGAATGTTTAATCCATAACTGGAAAAATCCACCAGTAAATTGTTTCTCGTTTAAGAATTTGAAAGTGGTAGATGGGTCAATGTAAAGACATCCGAAGAATATCTTCAATACTGACAAATGATGCAACATATAACCATCAAATGCATCTTGAGATTCCAAATTGGTGAAGACATTAAAGATTTCTGGCAAGAATCTTGGCAAGAATGAAATAAATCTGGTGTTCATACTTAATATGGTTAACTCGATTAATTCAAATGCACAGTCTGCGAAAATTGGATCCAATGAATCGCTGCTAAGAATATTGAAGCAGACATTAAGTAATGATTGCACGTATGGGGTTTCAATTGTTACTTCACTTTGGCTGAAACCATGGTTGATAACACTTTCAAAAAATGGTTGGAATGTATCAAAATATTCCAATGCATAAGTATCGAAAGAATCAATACAGGATTGGAATAAACTCCACAAGGTAGGTGAAACATGTTGGGTGCTGAACAAAATGGATTCGAGAATTTCAATGGCTTCACCTAAGAAGGCAACCATGGCATTTTCAAGAATAAACTTAACCATATCTTGTATAACACCTTCCATGGAAGCTGCAACGTTTGGAGAAGAATTCATAGCAATAACCAAGGTAGTTAAAGTGTTTAAAATACCAGATGCTTGATATTCTTTATCAAGATCAATATTATTACTGGTACTACTAGTCTGTTGGTCCAATAACTCTGAAGCTAATCTAAGGAACTGTTCAACCAATTTTGAAGATAATTCGTGAGCATATGGCTCTAAGTTCTTAGCAAATTTTTCAACGAATGAATCCATAACGCTAGTTAAAATATCTGATTCAAACTTTTTTGACATATCCAATAATGTGCCCATCAATTGTGGAGCCTGTCCAGAAATATGTTCAGCTACTAATTCTTCATCCACTAATGTACGTAATGCATCAACTGCGGTAAGCTGGACCGGAAATTGTTCCTGGTTTTGGAAGCACTTAACAACAGCTTGAAATATATCCTGTAAGACTTGTTGATCCTGATATTTGTAAACAAACATAGCCAAAGTGTCACATGCCCTTGCAGTCAACCAAGGGGTTTTGGAAATCGTTTCATCTGATAATTCAGGATAGATAAATGTATGTAACAATTGGTCCAATTGGCCTTGAACCGGTGACGACTTCTTATCTAATTTATATGATAATGTTGACAACACACGTAAAGCACCTTCG